TTGAGGCCTGGTTGAGCCACTCCCCTACCGGACCTAGTAAGGCTGATGATCTGTGTCTGACGACTCGACTGTCCCGAGGGATACGAACCCCTCCAAGGACCGGTACAGACCGGCGGGCTGCTCGGTGTGGCACAGTAGGCTAGACGGGCTGAGTTGTGGGCTGAAATCGCCGGAGGAACCAAGCTGATCGCGTCGTCCTGTCTGCGACGTTAAAGAATTCTTGCGAAGTTGGGGGATCGTCTAAAATACCTCCTGATCAGCTTTTGGTTCTGTAGTGACAGCCTTAGAGTAGTCTTGGGTTRKTTRYCTGTGGCCCTTAGGGAGTCAGTCAGTAGGTCAGTGTGTCCGGGTAGGTCTACGTGGTGAGGAGTGGGACCYCTGTCGTGCACCAACACCACGATGGATGACTATCCGATGTATGGGCTACTTGCGGAACCTCTGGCGTCTCCTCTTTCCTCTGGGCTTTTGACCCACTCTCACGTGTAGAGTAGGGCCCACTCGCGGTGGGACTTCCACCACCCCCTACACGAAGGAGGAGGAGGAGAAGATGGCCGCCATTTTGCAGGAGATTAAGGAGAAGGAGGAGGCCAAGAAGAAGGCCTTGAAGGAGGAGCAGACGGCCAAACTGAAGAAGATAGAGGAAGAAATGGCCAAAGAAAAAGAGAGGTTGAAAAAGGAAGAAGAAGAGAAGTTGAAGGAGGCGGATGAAGAAGAGGAAGGACCGCCACTACAAAGGAGTAGTAGGCAGCCCAGTAGTAATACCGGTGAAGACCTAGAGAATAGGATATCTGAATGGGTTGCCAACCTGATTGTGGGAGAAGAGGAAGAGGTTAGTATGTACATCCCGCAGGATCAGCAAGAAGCCGCCATGAAGGCTTGGGAGGCAGAGGAAGACCCTCTGAAACGTCAAGCGTTGGAAGACGAGAAGAGGATGGAATGGAAATTAGCGGTGATGCGGGAGAAGAAGAGGAGAATTGACAAGGCAGCGGAGGCGGCAGAGGCCTTAGAGGAAGTGAAGAATATAGAGGCGCAATTAACCGCCCAGCCCGATCTCCCGAATCAGATGCGAGTCATAGCTCGAAGCGTTGCATGCCTAGCACGGGTTCAGGCAGACCAATATGACTTTAGCAGAAGCCAGGACATAGCGGTGCGCTCGATACGGTTGGGTTTTCGAGACTTTGCTCGTGAGCTGGTAGGCGCCGTTGGAGTCGAGGTGGGTCATCGCCTCGACAAGACTGAGCGGTTATGTGCCGTCGCCATTGAAGGCGTCAAGGCGGCAGCTCCCAAGGAGGAGGAAGCACGTCCTCCTCGCCGGGAGCCTGTCAAAGTCAAGTTCCCCGATTCCTACAGCGGGAAGAGG